AGTTTACGAACAAAACAGCGCATACATATTTGACTTAAATCGGACAAATGTACACAAAGTTATCATATTTTGAAAATTCAATAAAAAAAGCGAACGAGCATTTTACTTGTCCATATGTATATTATATGTACATGCATAAGTATGTATGTTCAAACGTTTATATACATATGTATACTATATGTATATTTCACTCAATTTGAACGCAAAATAATCGCGTAACTCTTTATCTTTGTTTACTTTTTATTTTTTCTTTTTGTTTGTGATAAAGAAAATAATATAATTTCCAACTGCATTCCTTAGCGATATCTTATAAAAACATATATGTAGATACATATGTATGTATGTATGTAAGTACATATCAAATACAAATCTGTATAACCCAGTAGCAAAATTCGTCACCGATGAATTTAGTAATACGAAGTAGTAAACCACAAAGCGTGGTCGCTGCTTTCGCGGCCAACATCGCTTTCGTTTTCGATGATTTTTCCCCCAGAATGGCAACAAGTCGGAACTAAAGTATTTATGCCTTTGGTTTTACTCTGAAGAGTGACGTGTATGTATTATTTTAGTCGCTTGCGGCACCACAGCCAAGAGGGGTATAAAAGTGACGGTAAAATGTTTAAATAAATAATTAAAAAAAAGATACATAAACCGTGTTGGTAATTATGTTTTCAAAGCGATACGAAAAGCGGCTTATTAATATAGAGATACAAGGTATTTTAAATATAAACAATTCAGAGCCAATTATCGGGAGCAAAGATTTTAGTGAAATACTGTATCAAAATATTATATGTCGAAATCGATGAAATTTGGCGTAGTTTTATGCAAAGTTCGAACAAATATTGGGTTGCCCAAAAAGTAATTGCGGATTTTTCATATAGTCGGCGTTGACAAATTTTTTCAACGGCTTGTGACTCTGTAATTGCATTCTTTCTTCTGTCAGTTATCAGCTGTTACTTTTAGCTTGCTTTAGAAAAAAAGTGCACGAAATTTTGTTTACATTTGTTTGTTTGGCGTCAATTTTAATATGGAGCCCACAAAGGAGCATTTTCGTCATATTTTACTTTATTATTTCCGTAAAGGAAAAAACGCGGAGCAGGTTGCTAAAAAGTTACGAGATGTGTATGGTGATGAAGCCTTAAAAGGAAGACAGTGTCAAAATTGGTTTCGCAAATTCCGTTCTGGAGATTTTTCACTTAAAGATGAGCCACGTTCAGGTCGGCCAAATGAAGTTGATGATGACCAAATCAAAGCATTAATCGAATTGGATCGTCATGTAACTGAGCGTGAGATAGGAGAGAAGTTAAATATACCAAAATCAACCGTTCATTATCACATAAAAAGTCTTGGACTGGTGAAAAAGCTTGATATTTGGGTACCACATGTATTGAAAGAAATTCATTTAACACACCGAATCAACGCTTGTGATATGCACCTTAAACGCAATGAATTCGATCCGTTTTTAAAACGAATCATAACTGGAGATGAAAAATGGATTGTTTACAACAACGTTAGTCGAAAACGATCATGGTCCAAGCATGGTGAACCAGCTCAAACCACTTCAAAGGCTGATATCCACCAAAAGAAGGTTATGCTGTCTGTTTGGTGGGATTGGAAGGGTGTCGTATATTTTGAGCTGCTTCCAAGGAACCAAACGATTAATTCGGATGTTTACTGTCAACAATTGGACAAATTGAATACAGCCATCAAGGAGAAGCGACCAGAATTGGTCAATCGTAAAGGTGTCATATTCCACCAGGACAACGCTAGACCGCACACATCTTTGGTCACTCGCCAAAAACTGAGTGAGCTTGGCTGGGAACTTTTGATGCATCCACCATATAGCCCTGACCTTGCACCATCAGACTACCATTTATTTCGATCTTTGCAGAACTCCTTAAATGGTAAAACTTTCGGCAATGATGAGGCTATAAAATCGCACTTGGTTCAGTTTTTTGCAGATAAAGGCCAGAAGTTCTATGAGCGTGGAATACTGAATTTGCCAGGAAGATGGCAAAAGGTTATCGAACAAAATGGCAATTATATATTTGATTAAAGTTCATTCTAAGTTTTATTAAAAATGCATTTACTTTCTTTTGAAAAATCCGCAATTACTTTTTGGGCAACCCAATAGTAGTGAAAATTTAGTTAAAAATTTATCACAATGAGAAATGGAGAACAATATATCAAAAAAAATACTCATTAAGTTGCTTCAGGCTTTGCGAAAATGAGATATCGACGTTCCATTATCTTCGGATTCCATGTGTCATACGAACTGTTTCACCGGGATTTTATGTTCACTTTATTTTTATATTAATATATACATATATGTACATATATTTAAAGAAAAAACAATGTTATCCAAATTTAAGTTCACTTTATTTTTTTTTATTAAAAGAAATTTATATTAATTTTTAAAGAATAAATAAAATAAGTTTGCATTTTTAATTTAAATTTTTTTATTAAGGTTGGCTTACTTCAGTAGCAAAAAAAAAGTTGAATAAAGTTCCACACATTACCATTTCGCTTGCAATTCACCACGGAGTGGCGAGTTGCGCTTAGGAACACTCTTGGCCTGCAAAAGCTAATGAAGTGAGAAATTGCCTTGGGGAGCTCATCGTGAGCAATGGGCAGTGAAGTGGTATGAATGAATTTTCAAAGACAAGACATATACAAAATGTAATCGATGCTGGAAGTAGTCGTATACAATAAATTGTATTTTACTACTTCATTGGAAAGTCATTACCATTCGCTACTGGGAAGTCAATATGTATGTATGTAAGTATTTGCACTCATTTAGCACTTGAAACGAGCTCTGAAAGTATTAAACGAAATGTGAATGCTTACTCGGCAGGTAAATATACAAATATATAATTTTAAACTAATGTATGTACTATGTTTGTAATTAAATATGGATTAAAACTTGTAGTAGGATATTAAAGAGAGCTGGTTAGTGTTCGGACAAAATTGGTATACAATTTTTTTATTTAAAATTTAAATAAAAATATATGGATCCGTAGCAAAAAAAATTTATTCTCTATTTTTTTATTTTTAAATTTAATTTTAAATATATCAAATTTATTTAAATCAAATAAAACCGTAAAAGTCTTACTTGCATTTCGTTTGCAGCGTGTTTCTACTAGAAATCAACTATAAAATGCGATCAGTGTTGTTTAGGTGGAGTAAAATGAGAATTTCTGAAAAACTTAACAGAGAGAGAAAGAGAGAGAGAGAGAGAGCGAGGGTGTAGCTGTTAACATGTGTGCTCTTTGGGAGAGAATAATGTATGAAGAAATCAGTCATAGCTCAAAACATCAATATATTTTGTTAGCACACGCCCTCTTCGAGTTGGTAATTATGAGCAAAGTATACATAAATATGTATGTGCATGCATATGTGGCAGAGTGGGGCTCGACAGCGCACTGAGCATCAGCAAAAATGTGAAAACTCTGAGATTGCGACTTCAGCGGCGTCGATATTCACTGTTATAAAATTCGACTATCAGCTGTTGCTTTGCTGTCGTCACACTTTTCACTTTGCGGTATCTAAAATCAACGTAAATAAATAGAAATTAAAATAGTTATTTTATAAACTTCTCTTTTGTTACAGAATTCAAATAATCGTCTTACTAATTTTTGCAAACTTCTGTACGTTTAAGGTATTTTCAATAGCTTTTTGACACGTATTGGGCGGTATGTTAGCAATAACTCCATGCATGTTGATTTTCTTACGACCGTAGCGCTCCGAATTAACAGAAACAGTCTCGCCGTTGTCAGTTTCAAAGAAGTAATATCCAATCACACCTCCGGACTAAAGAGCGCATCAGACAGTAAGTTTTTTTGGGTGTAAAGATCTCTTTTAATCGCTCCCGGTTCGGCGTCGAAAGTAACAATATTGCTTATTTACATAGCCCTCGAGTGAGAAATATGCCTCGTTCTAGAAAAAAAATGTCTTCGAAATATCACCATCTACAGTTTGTTGTTCAAGCACTCAATCGACTTATGTACGGCGTTGCGGTGTGGTCAGCAGGCTGCAGTTGTTGTGTGAACTGGAATTTATATGGATCTTAATGTATTACAAGTAAGTCCCAGCTCTTGAAAACGTCTTCGGCTACACTTTCACCTACAGTAGCGCTGTTTGAGGTGGAACGAGCAAAACGATGATGCACAGGCCTTACAATATCTGTGTCCAGTCTCTTCAAAACTTTTGAAATTTTACCAAATTTCTTGAGTAGATGGATGATTATTTGCATCATAATCACCTCTTAAAGCACGAAACGTGATCACGTTTGAATCACAATTTTTGTTGTAGGTTTTAACAATTTCAATGCCTGGTAAGGTTTTTAAGCCATACATTTTATTAAACGTCTGTTTTTTAAATAAAATAAAATATATTTGGTTTAAAAGTTAAGTTTGGCAGATGTCAAAAAACAGCCTTTTACTATTCCAACCATGAAATGGATAGACTGCATCATGAAATTCCCATGACACTCATCAAAACTTACAACAATCCATCTTTTTCATGTACTACTCACTTGCGCCAAAGTGAATTTACTCAGCCAAATGAAGATATAATGCGCTATATGACTCTACTGGTTGAAAGTTTGGTATCCACAAATACAAAATCTCTGTTAATCCATATGAATATTATGGCGAATATCATCAACTACTTCAAAAATCTTAACAATTTCTTTTAAATTCTGCGCAGTGCAAACATTTTCTTATTGAAATTGTGTCCGAATTGACACTTCAGCAATTTAATATCAAAATTTTGACGCAAACTAAAACAAAGACAAACTGGCGCAGTCTACTATACATCACTCTAAAAGACAGCCAATGCCGATACGCTCTGTCGCTCTGCTACTCAGTCACTCTGTTACTCAGTCGCTGCTAATATCACTCACCATTTACCCGATCGCTTCCACCGCGAGTACGCTCAACCACTGTTAATTTCATAATTTTAAAATATTGAAAAGTTGCTAATATAAAGGTAAACGTATCGGCAACGAAAACCAGTTCAACGTGGATCTCGAACATTTTACAGCGTTAAAATTTCAAATATTTCGTTTGCAAAGAAAAAATTAAATGCATATATGGAAATTAAAATAAAATATATACATATATATCTATTGAAATGCATGACGCGCGTTGAGCTAAGAGTATATTGTATTTGAAAATAGTTGAGCTTGAAAAAAATATTAATAAAACATGCTCATTGTGCAAAGTGTGCAAATAATCAGAGATTAAAATTAAATATAAAAAGAAACAATTATAAAGTGAAAACTGGCAAAACCGGTTGATAGTTACAACAACGGCAATAAAAGTGACTTATTGCTGGAAAAGAAGAAAAATAGTTGAAGAATTTAAACAAAAAAAAAATTAAAAAAACAACACTGAAAAGTGCATACAGTGCGCAACTACGTGGAGAGTAGTTGAAAAAAGTTGAAAAAAAATTTTAACAATATAATTAAAAAGAAAACAGTTTACTGAAAACACAATATATTAAAAAAAATTACCTGTACATAAAGTTAACGGTGTAGTAACGCTAAAACATACAGTTTTATATAAATATCTACATACATAAATATCATCAACGCAAAAAGAAGAAATTTTTGCGCAAACTTCCGGACTCCTAACTGTTGTTATATGGAAACTATGACTTCAACACTGCTGCAACAACACGCTACACAAACAGCAACAACCACAACAGCTCACCATTATCAGCACCACCATCACCAACGTCATCATCACCATCATCAGCCACAACGCAAATTGCATTCGGGGCATCATCATACGACGACGACGACGACGACCACACAAGCCGCCGCTGCTGCGACTGTAGCTGCCGCCGCCATGGCTTGGTCGACTGAAAAATTACGTTTCTCCTGTGTGGATAATATTGGCTTGAGACAGTTGTGGAAATTAATTGCATTGGATAGCAGCAGCAGCAGCAGCAGTAGTAATGGTAGTGGTAGAACTGCCAACAACAACAACAGTAATAACAACAGCAGCAGTAATGGCGTTAGCGACAGTGTAATTAGCAATAATAATTGCACTATTGAGAATGTACAGCAATTGCAACAACAGAATGGTCTTAGCAGCAACAATGTCAACAACAACAACAACAACAACAGCAATAATAATAATGAGGTGAGTTTTGTTGTTAAGTGTAAATTGAATTAATGTTTCGAAATAGTTTAAGGTAGAAAGGCATATTAGGGTGGTGCGAGGAATTATATTTTTTGAGCTTTTTTTTTTTTAATTGCAATTAACGGTGACTAAGCGATTTGACATATACTTGTAATATGTATTTAAACAGCTTTTCAGAAAATATTTTCGGCATATACATACCTACATACATTTGTATTTATATTTATTTGCTTTAAAAATTCCACAAAATCGCACGCTTCCTTGTACCAAAATGAATACAATCAAAAATATTGTCTCTTTCAAAAAAAAAAAAAATTAAAAAAAATAATATAAATATTTTCAGCCACGCTGCTTTAAGCAAATAGCATGAGGCAGCCGTCGACACTCGGTCTGTCGCACATTTAATTTTAATTTCAGACTGTTTTACATTCATTTACATAAACTTCGAGTATAACCATTTGTAAAATGGTAAGACGCATACATACATACATATGTACATACGCATAAGATATAGGCGAGACTTTATGATTCATAACTTTCATTAAATGAATGGCAGATAAATACAAGTACATATATGTATAAGTATGTACACACATAAGTTCATACGTACTTGTGTACATATGTATGCGTGGTATAAGCACGTTGAAAAAAAAAAACAGCGACAAGTCGAGTCAACGCCCAGTCTGGGTTTATAAATTTTCGCTTCCACTGTTTTCAATATAATATATTTATATAACATATGTATGTACATATGTATGTATATAATTTTATGCATATAAATATGTATGTTTTGGCATTGCCAGTTTGCTTTTTATTATACATACATACATTGAAAAGTGTTTATAATTTGCAATAGTATTTTTTTTTGGCGAATTTCAATTATTATAACACCTACAACACTTTTTACAATTTAAGATTTTTTTCATTTTTTTTTATTTGTTTTTTGATTTATTCAAGGCGTTTTTGAGCAAGTGCTTTTTTTTGTTTTTTTTTTTTTAATTTCTGCATTTTTGCCTTGAGTCTGTTTTTGTTTTAATGCTAGATTTTTGGTTGTAATAAAATGATTATTTTTTTTATTCCACTGTTGAGTATTTCTACTTTTTTGTGCGAGTTTGATTTTCGAATTATACTACAAACATATGTACTATTTAAGAACCTTTTTTTGTTTATTTCGCCTATTTTTCTATACGGTAAATGTCTGCATATTTTTCTTTTTATTTCCTTTATCTCAGTCTCTTTCAAAATGAAAAAAAAAAAAAAATATTTAGTTCACCTTAATTTCTTTTGCAAATTTTTCATTCTATAAAAATTGTTCACTTTTCCAATCAACATGATTCTACATTTCGTCTGGAATTGAAATTTTCACCGTTCGGCAGTTTTGGTATTCTGTATTCCGTTCGGTTTCGTTCCATCTTTGAAGCTTGCAATTCTATCTAACTCTATCTGTTATGCATTGCAAACCTGGTTACGTATTACCAAAGCTTCCGTAGGTAGGTGAAAGTGACGGGAATGAATGCTCTAAATCCACTGGATTCCCTCTTAAACTACTCCATGATTTCGAGAACATTAGCTGAAAGCAGCCACTGCTCGATGAAGCCAAGAACACGATGTCATATTACTTAATCGCGTATTAATTAGAGCACGAGATACTCCAGTATCGAGCAGTGCAGTTGATTTCGAAAATATCTACCCTCTTCCACTTTTTCATTCGATTCGCTTGTAACTTAGAAAAGCTAGCTACGATTGTGAACAGAAGAGCGCCGATTAACTCATCTTTCTAAATATTTTATTTTCCTTTTCATTGAATTAAATTTCCTGCTCTTCAATTATATCTTTTTTGCCTTTCTTTCACCAAATCATTTCATTCATGCCAAACACGCCCATGAAGAGAAATTAAACATGAATAAAATAGTTAAGTCTGTTTGTTAACCACTCGAAATTTCGACTTTCTTTGTAAAAGTCATTTAAGCGTTGATTTCTTCACACGCTTATTTAAATATGACGTCAATTGGGTGCACAAAAAAAGAGATGCGGATATCCGGTTTTCTTCGTCTTCTCTGTTATGCGGCACTATTAAAGGTGAATAGCGTCATTAGTGTTGAGCTTATGGCTGCGAATACTGAATTATCAAAAAGAAAGTATGGTTGATTGAAACGCAACAAATTATGACTAATAATTTACTGTTTTTTAAACTCATTCAAGAAAGTCGAAGTACTGTCACATTAAGCTTTTATGGCAATCAGGCATTTTCACATTTTTTTTTTCTCTCTCCGCACATTCTTTGAGTGCTTCGGCACAGTAAGCGGGAATCTGTTTTTTTTTTTATAATTTTCTTCTCTATGGTGTCTAGTGCTATTAGCAAATAATATTATTGAAACAAGTGATTTTCACCTAAGCCAGATAAATATATATATATAACAGTACACCTGTATGTAAATGGAAATTCCAAGTGTAATTATTAACGTCATTTTTTTTTTATTTATTTTTTTTTCTCAAAACAATTGAAAATATTTAAAAAATATTTATTTGAAATATTGCTAAGATAAAAGGAACAGAAATAAAAGTAGTAGGAACACGATGTATACGAGCAATTGCATAGTGAAACTAATAATTCAACAGGCATGACTAACAACATTCCAGCGGTAGTTGTTGTAGATTAGCAATTGAGTTGGCAACACACATTCTCATACAGACCATATGATACTCTGGCAATCTCTTCACTGCCATTCAAAATACTTACATATATCAGTAAGCCACAATATTTCTTGAAATTCGATCACATTTTACGCCTTAATGCTGAGAAATTTTATTTATTTAGTTTATTAAAAAAAAAAAAAAATAAATAAATTGAAAAAACCATTGAATAGCATAAAAGCGAAATAGTGCGCTGTGTCACACCACTTAAAAATCGTGGAAGTGTGTATATACAATAAAACATTTAGAATTTGCCGAGTGATCACGCAGCAAATTATAATTACACAAGCAATCCAATGAGGTTATCAACAAGTTGAGGTGGCAATAATAATTATAGAAGTAATAAAATTGCTATTTTTAACAATTTCTTACCTTCAACGTTTGTTGAGCATGGATTTGACCAAAAAAAAAAATATATATATAAATATATCACTTTTAAAATTTATAAAGCACCCCCTAACCACAATGAGGTCATATATACATATGTATATGATTCAGCTTATCTTTTAAATATGCGATTAATTGTATGCATATTTAACATATTTATTAAAAAATATTTGATAATTCGATATTTTTTGTTGCTAGTTCGTATTTATTTTAATTTTAATTAATTTTTGAAAATGTGATGTTTCAAAAAATGTGCCAATTGATAAGCCTCAGCGCAGAACTAAATTATGCAGTACGTACGTGGCCCATAGGGAACGAAATAGCTATGCATTTCGAATATTTTAATAGAACATAAGGGATAGTTGTGGCTTAGAAGTTAAACTTTCTTGTTTTCTCTATTTGTTTCATTTATTTTCTTTTACTTCCTTTGATTCTACGACATTTTTTTTTAATTTTTACGTAATTTTTCCTTTTATTTTTTACATTTTTTTTTTGGCAATTTTTTCCTTTTTGTTTCCTCTAGTTTTACGACATTTTTTTTATTTCCTTAATTTTTACGTAATTTTTCTTTTTATTTCTTTTAATTTTGCACAATTTTTCGCTTTTACTTTCCCTTATTGTTTTCCTTAATTATACGCCATTTTGTTGTTGTTGTTTTGTATTTTCTTGATTTTTACGCTATTTTACCTTTTGTTTCCCTTAATTTTACGAATTTTTTTTTTTTATTTCTTTTATTTTTATAATTTTTTTATTTTTATTTCCTCTAACTTCCTTTTTTTCTTTTACTTTTACGCAATTTTTTCTTTTTCTCTCCTTTATTTCAATTTTATTTATTATTTCAAAACTGGTTTTTCGTAAGCAGATTATTTGTACCAGATGTTTACAGCAGTTTTTCTTTTATTCCTTCAAATTTAATTTTTTTTTTTATTAATTTTTTTTTTTTTTTTTTGCAAATACATATAAATAATATTGCTTTTATGCACTTTTTCAACATAAGTATGTACGTATGTACATATGTATGTGCGTTGGTATGATTCGTGACATAATTAAAAGCCAAGAAATACACAACTCTAATAGCCTTTGACAATACAATTGTCAATTATTGTCTATTATTTATAGAAAGCCCACTCATTATAAGCTCGCTCCAGTGGTCGAATAAAAATAATAACAATAACAAAAATAATAGCTAAATTAATAGGGTAACAAAGACCACTAAACTTTGTAGACATATGTATGTACATATATGACAAATCAATTAAAATTAGTCCCAACGCACAGCAGCAATTCATTCATTAAAATTTTCAATTGCTCACAGCATTAGAAATCGATTCGCCACACCGTGCGCTGAGTCGACGTTTTGTCATATTTATGTAATGACATTGACATAAACCGCAAAATAGGTAAAGAAAATACAAAATGATTGAAATTAAGCTGTATAGACATATATTTGTATATGTTTATAGTGATATGAACATATATATATATATATATATATATTTAATTACAATTAGTGATTGAGCAGTGATGTTTTTGATGATACCAAATTCGAAAGAAACACAATTTTAAAATTTATATCACAATATTTTTGGTCCTACATATGCTTACGTACATATACATATATATGTATGTAGATATTTCTTGTTGCTTTTGTATAAGCGAAAGTGATGTAATAAAATTGCTACGAATCATTTACCTACACCTTTTACATTTCAATTAATTAAGCAATCAGCAAAATCGCTTTATAAACAAATATTTAAATAATTTTTAAATGTATTGTACATACACATATGTACGTTTAGGTAAATCAACTGGTGATAGACGTCAAACATCATGTGTTTTTTTTTATATGCAATACAATTAATTATAACAAATTGACATTTATCACATGCTGGATGTTGACAGGTCGGTGTTGTGTAACC